TTTGGTGTATTATTAGATATTGTAATACATGGTTTTTTCAAAAATGTAATGTGACCATGTGAAATGACTACGATAAAAATGAAGAATATAGAACCACCTTCCAATGACATATGTTATCAAGAAACTAGTACTGACAATTTTAACTAGTTATTAATAAGTTATTAAAAAAAGTTATTAACAAAAGAAATTTCATGAATTACACGTAATTTTCTGACTCCATGTACATTTAATAGAACGTACTCTTAGCAGGTTTAATTATTTAAACGTAATAAACAAAATGCGTGCGCGGGGACCCTCCTCCACCCATTCAATTTACTACACGTAAATAAATGTAAATGCATTGCGAAAATGTTCTGAAAATCGAAATGAATAATTACGTATCTATATGTATAATTTTCTGATATCACCCAATTACTCGTCGCATTTCACACAAATAATTAATAAGATCTTCATTACTATATGTCGAATGAAGAAATTTGTGTAACATGTTGAGGTTACCAACTGGCAATAGAACTGTGTGTCTGATAACACTAGTCAACAAGGTTTTTGTCACATGCAATGATGCGATATCTCCTACCGGGCTCCCGGCTCTCGAGTCCCAACACAAGTAAGAAGCGCTTACGTCACGCGTCTGTGTGCGCTCGACTGTTCGGCTATAGAGAGAGAGCGGACATTTCTGTCTTGCTATCATCGAGCCGACGTAAACACATAGCGGACGGCAAATGCTCAGAAACAAGTGCTTCTAATCGAGTAAGGCGAGTGCTTAGCATATTCGAAGTCCCGTATTCGAGACTTAATTTTTGCAACTTTTTTTTCTTTTTTCCACATTTGTTTCTAACAGTGTAAATTAGTTAATAATGTTTTTTGCTAAAAATATTTTTTGTATATTAATAATATATTTGCATATGTTAAACTAATAACTAATTATTTTAAAAAGAATACTGATTTGCTATTATAATAGAAAAATAAAGTCATTTTACAACATACATATTGCAACAAAGTGCAATTTAACATATGCAATTATTGTTAATAAATATAAAATAATATTTTTTAGCCAAAAGCATTATCTAATGATTCACTTGATGGTGCAGTGCTAGAAACAAATTTCGAAAAAGAAAAAAAAAATGTTACAAAAGCAGTTTTCAAACACGAGATTTTCAATATTCCTGCCACTCGCCTTACTCGATTAGCCACGCTTGCTTCTTATCATTTACCTCTATCGAAAGATTACACACCTGGACAATTTTTAACTATTTATTTTAAATTACTGCATATTAGCAAGAGTTACTGTACTGTAGAGATTAGTGGAGGAACGGTAACATACAATGCAGTCAAATACATCTTACAAATGCAGTCAAATAGATCTAAGATTTATTGCACTCTTGTTAACATTGTTAAAGTATGTGTAGTGTATTATTAGTTCATTAGTAATTTTAAGTATTATTAATAATGGTCTTTCACACCATTTTTGAGGTTCCACTAACTAGGCGCGTTCGATTTTTTTAAAGTGAATCGTCGCCTGGAGCCCTATCGTACCACCTTCAAATTAGTGAAATTCGTTCTACGTTTTGCCAGGAAGAATTACATAGAGCAGCAAGACATGGGCATGACAAACGAGCACTTGTACCTGTTAAGAAAGAAAAAAATACCGAAGAAAATGAGCGCTTTAGTGATACAGTTTTGGCAATGTACATATATGGATTTGGATTTGACTAAATCAAAGTATAATACACTCCAATCCTACAATGAAAAGTTTTTCGGTCATAAAAGCTATTCTCCATACTCGAAGATTCTATCTGCAAAAACGCGATGCTATCCTGAAGATATTCATGTCCCAGATAATGCAGCAAGTGTCAAATTGCAATCATTACTTGTGGTCAAGTGGTTACAGTCCGTCGATTGATATATTCTCTAGCACCTGAAATTTTAGGCTCATCGCAAGACAAATCGTTAATTTTGCATAGTAAATGGGGTATGAATGGAGCTTCAAGTCAACAAGTTCTTCAACAAAACAGGGCCAAAGATATTAATAAGGAGACGAGTTCCAAAGTAGTCAATACGGATGAAGGTGCATCGACGAGTAATGAAATTGACGAACACCCAAATAGATCTGATCACTCTGTGTTTATTATATTATTTGTCCCTTTGGAGCTTAGATTTGATCATGAAATTATATGGGTAAACGATCGACCGCCATCAATCAGATTCTGTCACCCGATTAAATTTGAATTTATTGCAGAAAATGCGATCAACACTCTAAATGAGTGTACATGTATATAATAATTATTACACAGTACAGAATAATTATTACACAGAAAAAATAAGTAGTCTTCATCCTACATATATTGCTATTGATAACATTTTATTTTCTGTAATTCATGACTTACAGTGCACCATGATTAATGAAAAAACGTACAATATTATAACTAATCAAAAATCGAGCAACTCGTGCAATATATGTGAGGCTAAACCCACGTAAATGAATAAACTGGAGATTATAAGCATCTTACCACAAAAAACAGAATTTTATAAATTGGGATTGTCGACTCTACACTGCAAAATCCGTTTTATGGAGTGCTTACTCTATATTGCTTATAATATGGATTTTAAGAAAAGCAGTGCTAGAGGCGACGAAAATAAAAGTGGCAAAACGTAGAACGAATTTCACTGATTTGAAGGTGGTACGATAGGGCTCCAGGCGACGATTCACTTTAAAAAAATCGAACGCGCCTAGTTAGTGGAACCTCAAAGATGGTGTGAAAGACCATTATTAATAATACTTAAAATTACTAATGAACTAATAATACACTATACATACTTTAACAATGTAACAAGAGTGCAATAAATCTTAGATCTATTTGACTGCATTTGTAAGCAAAATAGAAAGAAATTCATTCAAAATTCTTTGAAAGAAGCTCTTGGCATAATTGTTGACGTGGTAAAACAAGGTGCAGTAAATACTAATACTGGAAATATTGCTAGACATTTTTTCGCTAAACCGCAAGTTGTAGCCAAAATCTGCCAACTTAATGAACGTTTAGTGACGCGGTTGGAATCATCTTGCAAGTACTCACTAGCAGCCAAAACATTGATGCTGTGAAATTCCATCAATACGCTTTAGAAACCGCTCAATTATACGTGGACTTATACAGTTGGTACTTTATGCCACCAACAGTGCATAAAGTTTAGTTTAATATGGCGTGGCTCCGAGGGGTCTCCCCTCTTACGACCATCTGGTTTGGTGGAAGGGGGTGATAAAGGAAGCGGGAGATTCAAAAGGAGAGGTTAGATCAGTGCATAAAATGTTAATGCACGATGGTGACATAATAACGTCATCATTTTTATCCATTGGTCGCTATTCAGAGGAAGCGCAAGAGGCAAACAATAAAGCATTCTGAGATGCTCGAGGTCATAATAGTATGTAGATGGTCATCTCGATGCAATAATAATGAAGATGTTATTCATTATCTTTTAGTATCATCTGATCCACTTATTAGTAGCTCAAGATTGAAAACAGACAAACGAGATAACGAATTATCGGATGATGCCAAAAAATTCTTAAAATGTAATGAAAAGTGAAAAGTTATTTCTTCGAGATTTTATATACATACAAAGGAAAAAAACTAAATAAAAAATACACCAAGGTGAAAAAAATAAAAAAAGAAAAAAAGACTAAAATGGAACTATAAACTCGCTAGATCCACGTTCTTAGTTTTGGGTAACGCTAAACGCGAGTAGTTGGAAGATTGAAAATTTTAAATCGCTCAATTTAAGCGATCTCAAAAACCCCCGTATACCAAATTTTACGAAATTTGTCTGCATTTTCAGTTCACGTCCGCTATATTGAGTCCGCCATTTTGAATTTTGAAATTTGAGTCACGGTTTTGTAATCAGCGATCCTGAAAACCCTAATATATAAAAATTGAAGGAATTATGAACATACAAAAAAATGTTTGCCAAAAAGTTCATAACAATTACGATTTTTTGTTAATTAACAAATTGTAATATTAAAAAATGTGCAGGTCTCTGCTATAATACAATAAATGACGCGTATTTTAAAAAACATTTTATTGCAATCGGTTGAGAATTCTACCGTCGAACGATTTTTGGCCACAAAAAGCGACTTTATGTCCATTGTGCGCCGATGACTTACATAACGAAACTGCTGCCTTCTGGTGGTGATTCACGTATCTGGCTATTCTCATTTAGTTTGGTCCGTGACACGAAATTTCTAAGCTGAAGAAATACGAGGATCTAAAATTCTGTACTTCTTATTGATAAATAAGTCCGTACTGGCGTCCAAAAATTACGTATAATTTGTGAAACTTTTTTGTTTATAATTTACTTTTAAATAAACAGTGAGCGGCGGCTAAAACTTTGTAAACATTACTCAAGACTATGGTCTTGATAACATATGTGAGAATCAAGACAATCGATCCTGAATGTATAATTCTAAACATTTCAAACTTTATTTGTTAATAACTTTTCAATAAATACCGGATAAAATTTTTTTTTGTTACTCAGGACTATGACTTTAATAACATATATTAAGGTTAAGGTCATTGAGAGGTGATCTCCTCTTCTTCTTCTTTTTACTGACAAGTAAAGTACTACAAGTAATAATAATACAGTGCAATAGGTATCTCCCCTTCTATCCTATGCGAAAACCCGTCGTCCGGTTACACTCTTTTTTGTTATTTTTTTCTTCCATGTTTTTAATCATAACACGGTAATCGCCTCACCAATTATATTAAACTTTGGAAAATCCGGCAAATCCGATTTTTCGAACCATTGTTCCCCCTGTTAGTTCGTAAGATCGAGGCTCTACTGTATATGTAATTAACATTTAAAAAGTTAGAGATTAGTAAATTGCAAAATACTAAATTTAAATTCTCCACTTACGTTAGTCTATCCTAGTTGTGCGTCCTATGTGAGATACCACGTGGCCACCACGTGGCCACACCACTTACCACGCATATAAATTTGGTCTGTTATTTTAGCCGCAACTATCATAATCACGGAATGGCGTACGAAGTTTCAAAGACGTATGAATTTGGCAGATAATGCTCAAAAAGCACGTAGCGTTGATAGTTTACTTAATTTTGAAACGGTGAAATATTATGGTGCCGAAACATACGAAGTTGAAAGTTATAGAAAGTCAATTTTAGATTTCCAAATACAAGAATGGACATCAATGGTTACGTCAAATATTTTAAACACGTTACAAAATATAGTTATCAGTGGAGGTTTATTATGTGGATCGTTATTATGTTTACACATGGTTAGTGCTTTTGCAAAAATAATTATTCCAAATATAATAATTTTTAATTATAATGACAAAATGTATAATAATAAATTGATTTCTTCGTAGGTTGTGTTCCACCAAGGTTTAACAATTGGCGACTATGTATTGTTTGTTAGTTATATAATGCAACTTTATGTACCGCTAAATTGGTTTGGAACATATTATAGGTAATATAAACGAGTATAACATATGATTTTTAATATGGACTTCTTAATCTCTATTCTTTCAAACAATTCATTTAAATAATTCATACTTGAACAAATTTCTTTGTCCAAAGGGCTATTCAAAAGAATTTTATCGATATGGAAAATATGTTTGAACTACTTAGAGAAGAACAAGAGGTGATAGACGCACCAGGCGCCGGATTATTGGACGTTAAGCATGGACAAGTGGAATTTCAAAATGTATCATTTGGCTACACTCTCGAGAAACTTGTACTTAGAAACATTAGTTTTACTGCACCTGCGGGAAAAACGGTCGCACTAGTCGGTCCTTCCGGTGCTGGGAAGAGCACTATAATGCGATTATTATTTCGTTTCTATGATGTAGAGCAAGGCGCGATTTTAATCGATGGACAAAATGTTAAAACCGTCAAACAGGAGTCTCTCAGAAAAACTATAGGTATTTTTATATCATTACTTTGTCTTGCATGGATTTGTTATTTCAGAAAGTAATTTTCCATAATTAATTTTTTATGCATTAAATTTAATTTGGCTTCTAAAAGTGTACACTACATCAGATTTGATGAGAAAATTACAAAAAAAGAAAAAAATATAAAAAATAGTGATTTTTGTTATACTTACTATTATAAAAAATAGTTTTTTCTTGCAGTTTTATTTACGTTACCTTAAAAAATTAGTTTTTTAAATGCAAACAATGCCGAAAAAAAGACAAGCATTAAAAGAGCGACTATCAAAGACGCAAAAAATATTATTTTGTGTATAAAAAATAAAAATACATTTTAGTTACAATTTCGATCTCTTTTTAGTTTGATGGAATATACACTCACCCGAAAAAAAAGCGGTACACTGAAAATGTGGGAAAAATTCATCAAATTTCAACTGACGATAACTTCGTAAATAATAAAGATAGAAAGTTCTATAAAATATGGAAATGAAGCTAAAAATCTCTACTTTAAGAATCAATTTATTTCAATGTTGCAAAATAAATTTATTGAAAATGGCGGATGACAAAGCGCGAGCATGCAAAATTGAAAAATAGTGGTTCGAGTTTGCGACGGTGCACGGTATAAACAAAAAATTGTAGCTTATTGGGATCAAAAGCGTACGAAAGTACAGAGTCTCCTCTTTAAAATGCTTTTTTATGCATCTTGATACGATGATTTTTCGCCGAGAGATTCGCATTTGAAGAAAAAAGCAGATTCTTACTTCAAATGCGAATCTCTCGGCGAAAAATCATCGTATCGAGATGCATAAAAAGCATTTTAAAGAGGAGACTCTGTACTTTCGTACGCTTTTGATCCCAATAAGCTACAATTTTTTGTTTATACCGTGCACCGTCGCAAACTCGAACCATTATTTTTCAATTTTGCATGCTCGCGCTTTGTCATCCGGCATTTTCAATAAATTTATTTTGCAACATTGAAATAAATTGATTCTTAAAGTAGAGATTTTTAGCTTCATTTCCATATTTTATAGAACTTTCTATCTTTATTATTTACGAAGTTATCGTCAGTTGAAATTTGATGAATTTTTCCCACATTTTCAGTGTACCGCTTTTTTTTCGGGTGAGTGTAGAAAAAAAGAGAAATGAAAATGGATTTTAGTAATATAAGAAATTTTAAAAATATATAAAAATAATTAAAGAACAAGAAAAAAGACAAAAAAATAAAAAAAAATCTGTTTTATAATTTTTCTATAATTATAATAATTTTTTGTGCTCCAATCAATAGCTTCTGGTTCTTATTGCCTCGTTTTATCATTATTGTTTTTGAGAAGCTACACGACATATTAGTTTTTAATATTTTTTAACTTTTTAAAATACTGCTCAAAAAAATTATGGCATAGGAAAATTTTGGGTAAAAATTGGACAACTTTGACGAACAATAACTCCGCAAGAAATCATCGTAGGATCCTGATTTTTTTTTAATGAAAGCTTGAAATCTCTACTTTAAGATACTATTGCGCGATTTTAAGGTTAATGCACCCCAACGACTGTAACCCCTTAAATCTGAGGGCATGTTCATATTGAAAATTGCAAAATTTGACGGAATGCACGGACCTGCTAGAATTTTTTTGGGGGATACCGCGAAAGTGACGAACCGCGGGGTCCTTATCTCTGCTAACACACACACACACACACACACACACACACACGCGCGCGCTGTGCGATATTCGACCAGCAACCTCGCCGTAGTGCACATCCGGTAACGGTAATGCCGATGATACATGTCAAAAATGCAAGGACTACTTTAAAGTGCTGTAACTTTGCGAAAAAAAATTGCAGCAACTTGCTTTTTTTTTAATTAAAGGGGAAGTTTCCAGCTTTATGCCCCTGTAAACGGCATCCCCCTAAAAAATTCTATCAAGTCCGTGCATTCCATCAAAATTTGCAATTTTCAGTATGACAAACATGCCCTCAGATTTAAAAGGTTACAGTCGGGGTGCATTAAACTTAAAATCGCGCAATAGTATCTTAAAGTACAGATTTCAAGCTTTCATTTAAAAAAAAATCAGGGTCTTATGATGATTTTTCACAGAGTTATTGTCTGTCAAAGTTGATCAATTTTTGCCCAAAATTTTTCTATGCTATAATTTTTTTGAGCAGTGTATATATTTTTGTATGGAGATTATTTTTTTTATTATTTTACGCTTTTTCTAAAATTTTCTAAACTATATTTGTTCTGAATTTATTAACATAAGTGATTTTACTATTTAAAACTGTTGAGTAATATTTAAATCTATTCAATATACAGGGTGTCCCATTTTAATTGACCTCTGTTAACTTCGCAGAAAATGGTCAGATAAAAAAATATTCTCTACAAAAGTTGTTGGGTTTGGAGGGGGACATCCGATAGTGATATTGGTTTAACCTAGGGTGTACGTGCCAAGGTCATATGGAGGTCAACTTTGTTTTTTTAAATAGAACATCCTATTTTTGATTCCAGAATCTAATAGCTGGTGTCAAGTGCTTTTCAAAACACTATAATGAAATTTTTTGTTAAGTACTTTTCGAGTTATGAGGCTTGAAAGTTACAGTATTTTGACATAAAATATAAAATATCTTGTAAAACATTCAGTTTTTGAGAATGTTACCTTAATACTTTTATGCACAAAATAATGAGACAAATTAATTAATATAAAGTAAACACATTGGTTTTAAAAAAAAGTATGCAATCCAAACCCAACAATTTTTGTAGAGAATTTTTTTTATCTGACCATTTCTTGCGAAGTTAACAGGGGTCAATTAAAATGGGACACCCTGTATATTGTATGGAATATTATTCAAAAAGGAATCACGTATGAAAATAATCTACATCACATTGCTCTTTTTTATTATAGTTATTTATTTTAAAGAAAAAAACTGATATTTTAACATGACATAATATTTGTTGAAATAAAAAATTTAGTTTGTTTTGTAAATTTATTCTGAAAATATTGCATGATTTGCAGGTGTCGTACCACAAGACACTGTTTTATTCAACAATACTATAAAATATAACATCCAGTATGGACGTATCAATGCAGCGGAAGCGGATATAATAGCTGCTGCAAAATACGCGGATATCCATGAAAGGATTCTCACATTTCCAAACGGTTACGAAACACAGGTTTGTCAAAATGATAGAATTGCAGGTATAAAGCCGGTATATCACGGCTGGTGATTTGTTATGACTTGTGGCTTGTTTATACTGGCATAGGTACTTGCATAGACTCGACTCGCGACTTTGTAAGCAACGAGCTATAATAAGCCGTATATACTTTACACGGAAAAAAAAAAATTATTATTGCAGCAAAATCATCATTGCTATTGTATATTAGATGTTATAGCGACAAAACTTTGCTACCATAATAAATTTTCCAAATTATTCGATACATCAACACCTTTTGCTGATAAAATAGATAAATTTTGTTGAGTACATTTGTTCGTAAAGACACATTAATTTGTTGCTACAACAAAATAATTTATTTCTAACAAATGTATTTTGCTAATGCAGCGAAATTGTCACTGCTAATGCAAATTTTAATGGCAAAGTAAAAATCAATTTGTTATAATAGTGATATAATTTGCGGATTTAGCAAAATTATGCAACAAATAAAATTAGCATTCGTAACAAATTTCTTTGCTATCCATATAATAGTTAACATGTTTTGCTATAACAGCGTAAAATTTGCCGTGCCAGTAAATTCTTTTTTTCCGTGCACAGTGCGGTAATTTGTCACCATTTACGGCTTGGATAAATTTCCAATTTATTAAGTTCAGCTCGAAATAGTGATACTAAGTTCTTTGACTTGAGACCAATTTCTCGACACTCAACGGAAAACCTCAAGCCACCAGCCATAAGTCAAGAGCAATGATAAGCTACCCTATCTCTCGGTGACTCGGGATGATTTGGTATAACTTGCCAAAGTTTGACAAATCTCTACCAGCCATAGAATACCGGCTTCAGAAGAATAACATAATTTTATTTTATTTCTTTTTTATTTTTATTTTTTTTCTACATTTTCCTACATTGTCTTTTTCTTTATTTTTACGCCTAGTTGTCCCTTAAACTTTTAAATAGATGCGTTTAAAAATGTGCTATATAAAAAAAATATTTATTATTTGTACTTATCCAATTAAAATAAATAAAATTGAAGTTGTATTAAAGACAGTCTGATTTAGAGTGCAGAAAATAACCTATTTTTAGGAATTAGAAAAAATTATTAGGTACAATATTTCCCAATTTTAGATATGCATGTTTAAATTTTAAGTTTTCATGAATTGTGCAGTGTTGCGATATGGGACCGGTTGTATGCGCATGTGCGGCAATACGGCGTCAGTACAGTGTCTCATACAAATTAAACAAGGCACCGTTACCCGCGTACAGTTAAAATATTTCTAAATTTTTGAAATTGATTGAAATTTTTACTTCTTGGTTTTTAGCTGCTGGCTCCGTAGATTCCATGCTTGTAAATAAATAAATCTTACCTTATTTGTAGTCACCAGACCTTCTCATGTCAAAACGTCCCGCCATACAGTCAACACATAACATATAACGGCACTGGATCTCCATCACCGCACATGCGCAGAGCCGCACATGCGCATACAACCGGTCCCATATCGCAACACTGGCTCACTGTCAAAAATATGGGCATGGTAACATAACATATAGAGAGGAAATTGTGCACTTGATTGTCAGCGATTGTGTAAAGCGAGCGCCTTATGCCCATATCACATACACATTAAAGACTGAAATTTGACCTATCAGGACAAAAACTTTAACTCCTT